AGAATCTTTGTCTTCTTGACATTAAGCCTCAATCCATACTGAAGGCTGCAGTCCTTGACCTAGAATCTATTAATTCTTTTTTGTCCCTCAAGGTAAAATTAGTCTGAGTTTTGTTTGGTATAAGAAATTTTCAAAATTGTATTCTGTTACTTTTGAGTATTATGTGATTCTGAGTCCTAGTTAAATGTTCTGTGAATGCATATGTGTAAGTATAAACAGAATTGTTTGTGTGAGTGTGTACCAGAATTCAAGCTGGATTCAGAAGAAGCCGTGGCACTAGAGGTATCGTTGCTAATGTCACATGGATCTTGGCTGAAAGCAGAAAATGTAAGACAGATGTTTACTTGTGTTTTATTGGTTATGCTAAGGCATTTGACTTTGTGGATCATAATAAATAATAGCTAACATTGAGAAGAGTGGGAATCCCGAAACACTCAATTGTGCTCATGAAAAACCTATATAGGAAAAAAAGAAAAACCTATATAGAGAGACAAAGAAGGAGTTGTTCAAATGAAACAAGAAAACGCCGGACCGTTTAAAGTCAGGAAAGTGTGTGTCAGGGTTGTATTCTTTCTCCATATCTATTCAATCTTTATGTTAAGCAAATAATTCAAGACACTGGAATATGTGAAGAAGAACGTGGCCTCAGAGTTGAAGGAAGACTCATCAATAGCCTATGTTATGCAGATTGCACAGCCTGGCTTGCAAAAGTAGACGTGAAGCACTTACAGAAGAAAACCAAAGACGTTACTATGGATCCCATCTCAATATCAAGAAGACAAAAATCCTCACAATATGCAACATCATGATGACTGGAGAAAAGACTGAAGTTCTCAAGGATTTCATTTGAGATAATCATCTTACCCCAGCAACAATAGCAAAGTTCAACAGAGCAGTAAACGATAAATGCTAGTGACGTTTTGGAGAGGTTGGAATCCTTATTCATGGTTGTTGGTAGTGAAAATTGGTGCAATCACTATAAAAGGCAGTTTCTAAAAAAGTTAGAAATAGAAATACCACTTGACTTAGCAATGCCATTACTAGGAGCATACCCTAAAGAAACCAGAATTGCCATTCAAACAGATATATATATGCACATTCCAGCAAAGAGATAGAAGCAACCCAAATGCCCATCAAAAACTGAATGGATAGAAAAACTATGGTGTATCTGTACACCAGTGCTCGTAGCCGCATTATTCACAATAACAAGAACATGGAAACAGCCCACATGTCCAACTCCACTGAACAAATTGAGAAATTGTGGTACATTCACGTGATGGAATACTAGACAGCATTCAGGAGCAATGGTTTTGAAAAATACTACATAACTTGGGAGAGACTGGAGAGTATTTTGTTGAGTGAACTAACTCAGTCTCATAAGGACAAATACTGCATAAGACCATTATTGTAGAAATATAAGGAGAACTAGTAAAACATGAATGAGAACCCAAGGGAGTGGAATCAGAAGGATGAGGATAGGCAGGGGGGAAATCATAGGGTCACACAATTTGATGGGTGGAGGGAGGAGGGGCAAAGGGAATAAGATGATCCAGCAGGAGTCTGGAAAGGCAAGATAATTGTGGGCATAATTCAATGGTGATCGATTTTATAAAACATAATGAATGGGAACAATTGTATGAAACATAATTTGAATAAAAGATGCTGTGAAAGACAATGTAAAAAAAAAACCAAAAAAACCTATGGTATATTGTACAATGGAATACTACGCAGCATTGAAAAACAATGAACTCCTAAAACATTACACAACGTGGATGACCCTGGAGGACATTATGCTGAGTGAAATATCTCAGTCAAAAAGGACAAATACTACATAGCACCACTGTTATAAAGCAGATCTGATATGGGATGGGTTGGGAAGAGAATAGGATAAAAGCAGATAGATAATGAACATTGCATTGTAACAGATGAAGGAAAGAATTGTTTAAAGTATGATTAGGCATTATACATACAACAAAAGCACATTGTACATTGCAAAGAGGACTGGGGGGATAGGGAGGGAGGTAATTGTGCAACAATGAATGAATCTTTTTTTTTAAGTGAACTGGGGAAGGGGGACAGGAGAGAGAAGGGGTAAAATGTGCAACAATGAATGAACTAAATTCTAATTTTTTGGTAAATTTTCATTAAAAATCACGATTTAAAAAATTTTCTTTTAAAAAAATGGCTAGTAGATTCCAACCTCCAATCTTTCAGTTGGCAGTCTGACACAGTGCACATGACCTTTGCTCGTGTTCCTTGAAACACTTATTGATCAATTCAGGTGAATATGTGCTAACATGCTGTTCTTTTTTAAAATTTTTTATTATTATGTGTGTGTGTGTGTGTGTGTGTGTGTGTGTGTACCGTCAAATCTGATCTGACTGGTACAGGAGGAGATTGTCCCTCCTTTCCCAGCAGAGCATCTGGTGGATTTGAACCATGTGCCTCTGGGATTGCAGTGCAGCTTCTTGCCACTAGGCCACCAGAGCTCCCCTAACGTGCTGTTCTGCACACATGTGTTCTTTCATTCAGTCTTGGTTCTGGGCTGGGCCCGAGTTCCTGACCTGGTAGAGAAGAGATAAGGAAGCAGACACACGGCACTACTTGGAAGGAATTAAGTCTTGACCAGAGAAGGAAGGTGATGCTTAGGGCTGGGGTGGCCCAGGGTGACCTGCAGAGAAGGTCATCCGGGTGGATGATGTGGTTACGTGCCGTTGAGCCGTAACTGACTCATAGCTGACCCTCCAGCAAGTCTGCAGAGGCTCCTGTGTGACTCACCCAGGAGAAGACTGGCCATCTTTCACTCAAGGAAAAGCTGGTCCTCTAAAACCGCCCGTCTTTGGCTTGGGAGCGCAATCCTTACCCCCGGGCCACCAGAGCTCACCTGTGGCTGACAGGGTGAACAAAATTGATGTCCTTAGCCCAGCCGCCAGGGACTTGTGTGGAATTTTCCCAGGAAGTGTGACTGCATGGGATACGTGTTATTCTAAGAACCCTTCAGGGTTGCTTCTTCCCTGGGAGCAGTCTTTTAACCTTCACTCCTTTATCATCTAGGAAAACGGTGTGTCTGTGCAGGTGATGTGAGGACAGGGCAGGGTAAAAATTTCCCAAGCCTTCTTGGCGATATAAGTCCACATTCCTCCAGAGAGAAGAATCCCATTGCCTCTTGCTTCAAGGGGATTCTGCAGGATCAGGGAAGTGGCTGTGGCTCCTCTGAGTGGAGTGGGCCCCGCCCAGGGGCCACAGGGAGAAGCTGAACCCAGTGGCTTGAGGAGTAGACATAGGTGCTGGGGAGAGAAAGGGCTTAGAGGGTCAGACACCCTTCTCTAAGGCAACTGCTGAGAGCTGACCTAGCAAGGTGGATTCAAGTGGTCCATTCACGGGCTCTGGCCTCGGGATCTTGGCTCTGTGTTGGGAGCAGTTTGCCAGATCTTAGCTCTGTTCAAGGGTGTGTGTGTGTGTGTGTGTGTGTGTGTGTGTGTGTGTGTGTGTGTTCCTGGGACTTCTTGAGATTAGGGTCTCAAACCTGGGTGGGTGGCCTCAGGTATGTTAGGGGCAGACGAGGTGGTCTCTGAGGGCCCGCTCCCAGGATTCCTCGGCTCTGCAGTCTTCTTTGACACACCTCCACCCTCTCTGCACAAGCTCTCCTCTAACTCCTCACCTGCGAACTCTCATCCCCTCTTTCTGCTCTAGGATCCACACCCATCAGACCAGCCTGAGCCAAGTGTCATTTAAGGAGCTATTTTACTTTCTGGAAAGGAGCTAATAATTACATTCCAGGCACTTGTTTAATTATTATAAAAACTCTTATGAGGGAGGCATTTAAAAAGTGCAAAAAATGAATGAATGGAAATCCAAAATCTCTGTAAATGTTCATGAAAATTAATAAAATAAAACTTTTTTTTTAAGTGAAAAGAAAAACTGGCCCTTTTCCTTTCCAGCCTGGTCCCTGCACTACGGCCCCCGCAAAGAAGGGTGGTGAGAAGAAAGGCCATTCTGCCATCAACGACGTGGAGACCAGAGAGTCCACCACCAACATTCACACGCGCATCCCTGGAGTGGGATTTAAGAAGCGGGCTCCTCGGGCACTGAAGAGGATCTGGAAATTTGCCGTGAAGGAGATGGGAACACCAGATGTTCGCAGCAACCCCAGGCTTAGCAAAGCTGTCGGGGCCAAAGGAATAAGGACTGTCCCAAACCGCATCCATGCACGGTTGTCTAGAAAACGTAATGACGATGAAGATTCTCCAAACAAGCTGTGTACACTGGTTACCTATGGACCTGTCACCACTTTCAAAACTCTACAGACTGTCAATGAGGATGAAAACTAATAGCTGATTGTCAAATAAAGTTATAAAACTGTGAAAAAAACTAAGAATCCGAGAAGCCAAGGGTCATCCAGCTATTATGAATGACTCCACCTGTGTTTGTCTATTCTACATGTATATTTAAAATACTCTAAATGTATACTCTATACTCTATATATTCTATATACTCTATATACTACCATCCCCAGGTGGAGGGTGGCAGTAGGGAGGGAGATAAGCTCAACTTTGAACCGTCATAATGCTGAGACATAAATACAGGGAGCTGATGGAGAAATTCTAGGCCAAAGTGAAGGCAACAGGAAACAGAAAGAAAGAAAACCATACCGTCTGTCCCGTGAACAGCAGCTTCTTGGAACTGGGCTCTAAAAGTCTTTCATTTTTACTGACTGAAAAAAGCCCCGGAGGAGGGGGTTACTCTTGTGATTTTATCAATGTCACAAACAAGCCTGTTCCCTGATAAGAACCAGGAAACACGTAGTAATGTGAGGATTCCAGGGAGCATGGGAGCTGGAGGACCGTACCTATCCCAGGCCGCCTGAGGTGGTGTGTCCGCCAGGGCTTCAGCGAGACCCCTGCCCTACTGGGCACCAGGCAGGGTCACTCCCTTCCAGGTTCAGAACCGCGATTGCACAACTCTGGTGCAACTGTTTCATCCTGAAATCAGAAAGGGACACATTAAAAGCCTGCCCAGAGGTGTTTGCAAGGACACTGGCAAACACAAAGTAAGACACCTCTCACCCACCACAAAAGAATGCAGGCATTATCAAAGAATATTATATGTAAGTAGAATTTTGCTAAAGATTTTTTCAAATGCAGCTAGAATAGTACATAGACAGGGAACTTTCAGAAATTCAAGCTGGACTCAGAAAAAGGTGTGGCATAACCGATATCACTGCTGATGTCAAATGCATCACGGTTGAAAGCAAAGAACACCAGAAAGAAGTTTATTTATATTTTATAGACTGTGTACACAAATGCATTTCACTGTATGGCTTATAACAAATTATGGATAGCATTGGTGAGAATGGGAATCCCCAAACACCTAATTGTCCTGAAGAGAATCCTATGCCTAGACCAAAATACCTGTGCAAGCAGGAACAGGGAACAAACGGTTTACAATCAGGAAGGGTGCGCATCACAGAGGTATCCTTTCTCCATACTTACTCAATCTGCACCCTGAGCAAATAATTCTAGAAGATAGATTTGAGAAGAATGTGGCATCAGGACAAGTGGAAGATTCATCAACAGCCTGTGTACTGAGTCTCCAGGTAAGTTCGAGATCACTTCCAAACATAGGAATGTGGCCCCCAAAATAGGCTGAAGATGAAATGTATTCAACATCATACTCGGCTCACGGTAAATGAATTCTGATGGTATCAGCAATGGGAATGGACATCACAAAGCCAAAGAAGGTATAGGAGCTCAATGTCAAGTATACCAAGTTCTCATTCCTCTCCTTCCTTCTGCCATTATCTCTTCACCTCCCACTGAATGCACAGCCCATTACCTTGTTGGCTTAGTGGTAAGGAATTGTGCTACCAACCCAAAGGTATATTGTTTAAACCCATCAGCCGCTCTGCAGGAGAAAGATGGACATTCTCCCTTGCCATTTACTGCCTCTGGAAACCCGATGGAGAATCAGCTGACTCAATTCTGACTGGACCTTACTACACAACAGTAAGGCAAGTACCTCAAGTCCACTCTCCTGTTTTATAAGAGATCAGGGAGGCCCATAAAGGTGGGACGGATTGTCCTGGGTCGTGATATAAATGGGTGAGAGTGGAGATAAAGTGGAGAGAGTGTAGGTTTACTCTGCATCTTGCTGTCGCTTCGCTGTCTGGTACAACTAATCACACCAGGAGTTAAGTATAGATTACTTCGGGCAGGGCTATCAAGAACTAAATTGCCATGAGGGGTTTTCTCCTCCTCCTTGGGTGAAAAAAAAGACAGAGGGAGCCTCGAAAGTTAGAATGGAAGGCGATCCTAAATTAAACAGCCAAGTCGTGATCTAAAATAAGAGTCAAATACTACCCCCCCCATTCATTCCATGTAAAGCTGTTGATTGCAAGGAGAGGCGAGGCCAGCAGGTGGCAGCACTGGAGGAGCAGCATGCAATCCAGATGCGGGAATTTGCAAACAAGATGCAAAGGATTGCCTGGTACCCATGAACTGAAGCATCTGTCAGCAATGTACTGAGCCACCAGGACGCCTTCCTGCTCACCAACGCACGTGTAACTGAGATGAGCATGAAAGAGACGCCATAAAACAACCGTGACATACCATCTTACCCCAGTCAGAACTGCAAAATTTAACAGAACAGCAAGCAACAAATGCTGGCGAGGTTGTGGACAAACTGGAACCCTTATTCACTCTAGGTGGGAGTGTAAAATGGTGCAACCACTATGAAAGGCGGTATGGCGCTTTCTCAAAAAGTTGCAAATAGAGATACCATTCGACCCAGCAAATCCACTACTGGGAATATACCCCAAAGAGACCATAACTGACATCCAAGCAGATATATACACACCCATGTATACTGCGGCTTTGTCCACTATAGCAAGGAGTTGGAAACAACCTAAGTGCCCATCAACAAGTGAATGCATAGAGAAGCTGTGGTATATTCACACAATGGAATACTA